CCCTCTTCGTCCGTCTCCTCCGCCTCAGCGTAGCTGCGGCGGGTCCACTTGTATTCAAAAACGATGGTGTGGGGGCACGGCGGACGGCGCTTGAGCCTCCAAGTTAGCGCTACCGGCGGAAACGCTGGCCCGGTCCACCGCGATTTGGTACCGCCATAATGCCATCGCGGCTAGCGTGCTCGTCTTGCTCGACACTTTCCCAACAACCAACCCTCGGGGGAGGGACACTTGACAACGTGGGAACCGGCCTCGGGGAGTGGTCAAATTACTATCACGTGTTGAAGTAAGCCAGGGAGTAGGGGTGTTCTCGCGGTCATCGGTGTGGGCATGCGCCAGCTGGCGCCCGCCTTTGAGGTGGTTAGGAAGCGTAGGTTAGTTCGCTATGGCAGAGCAAGGGGAGAGAGTAACCGTACCAGGAGTAGGAGAACAACGCAATGAGAGGAACCCACTAGGACTGGAGGTCCAGATGTTTGAGGAGGACCGCATCAGACTTCTAATTGCCAAGTGTTATGAGGATAAGGTTCCCCGGAAAGACTTAAGCATGGGGAGTTCGGTATTGAGAATGAAATCCGAGTTTTCAAGGTCAACCCCGAACTTGACCGCCTCACGACCGCATGGCTCAAAAAACGCATTGTTACAGTTATCTTTCAAGGGGCAGCACGCTGTCGAGCGCATCGGTCCGACACAGCACAAGGCAGCGTGGGACCCTCCCGGCCACGTCACGCAGGAGTTGGTTTAAAATCCTTCGTCGCAAAATATTCATGGAGCTTCCGCTAGCCGCTCCAGCCGAGTGCGCCAGCCATACCTCCCGCAAGCCCCTACGACAGGATAGGGCCTACGCGAGGCATGACTTACCTCCACCTTACGGGAGCTATCACCTCCCTTCAGTGGGCATATCCCCGCCGAGCTACCATTCCACAGTACGAAAGTTAATCAGCTGCAATCGCAAAGGTGGACCAGCCGATGGCGTTTCTCGTTCGTTGTAGCATAGGGGGTACGCGCTGTAATACGCCTCTATCGGACCCGCACGTGAACCAACATCCTTGGGCGCTGAGGTCCCAAGCGCGACTCGTCGACGGTCGACTAGGAAGCATTCCACATACCACACGCACACCACTTTACGAACACAAAAAATAAAACCCACACACACACATCAAACAACGCGACAACGCTCCTAGTCTCTTCAGTAACCACCCCATAACTCTTCGATGTGGAAATCGGATAGGCGTCTCGCAGGAGACTTGGTACAAACCGCGCGGACGCAGGGCTAACTCATATCGACTCG